ATAGGCTTACAAGATAATAAATTTCGAACGATTCGCATAGCTAAAATGGAACTTTGATGGTTTTTAGGATCAGAATTAACTGTAACTTGACTATGAAGTAGGCAGGCCAGGAGTCGAGGTCTCTCTGGCAGTTTGGGCCATAAAATTTTGATGAACCTGATGGGACAAGGTTTCTGGTTCTTATCTATATATATCTGTAGCTAGGAAGAGTCTTAAATGAAGAGTCTTTTTTTATCTTTTAGTTCAAGTTAATTCTGATACCATTCTAATCGAGCACCTTGGTTCAAACATACTAGTAGTTCAGATCACTCTGGCTATGGATCTTCAGTGACTTTGCTGCTGTGATTAGATCTCCCTTTCTTTCTCATATAATTTCAAACAATTAGGTTCTCTTCACCTTGAGATGAATTTTGATTCCATTTAACATGTGAATAAATGAGTGTAAGAAATTGATATTATGACTTAGGAGCAAGCTTCTCATGTCTCATATTTTGGATCTTGGCACTGCACTGACACAGATGGTTTTAGTTTTTATTGAGGGTCAGATTCTAGGCAATGTTCCCGTCGCTGTGAATGAAAAATGTCCATTTCAAATTGGTTTCAGTTACTTGGAACACCTGGCTTGTCTAAATGGTTCTGATGTATTTCTCGTGATCAACTGTTTCGTGCTTACTGCAGTGGTAAACATGGGTTCGTGGTAGCAATAACAGGCATAGAAAACGTTGGAAAAGGGTTGATCAGAGATGGTACAGGTTTTGTGACTTTTCCAGTAAAGTACCAGTGTGTTGTCTTCAGACCATTTAAGGGCGAGATCTTAGAAGCTGTTGTCACCATGGTAAACAAGGTGAGTGGTTGTCTCTCGTATGGCAATGATTCAGTTAATATTTCATGGATCTTACCCTTGGAGTGTGTTGATCTTACATTCTTTGATATATTACCTTGCAGATGGGATTTTTCGCTGAAGCTGGTCCAGTGCAGATCTTTGTTTCAAACCATGTAAGTTGTATAAGTTGATCGACTGTGTGATATGTTGTTATTGAAGACATTTGATATTTTTCTTGTTGTTGGGCTTCCTCTTACATGGGAACTGGAGGATAGAGCATGGTTGTTAAGATCGAAGAAATTTTCTAATTCACATTTTAGCATTCTTAACATCCGCATATTTACTTGAGCTGTTTTTGGAACTTGAAACACAAACTTTGTCGTTCTAAGCTTCATGTATCTGTGTTTGTAGGATCTCTTCTTAAATTGTCTAAGAACTTGATGAGCGAACAATGATTTACCCTAATAGTATGCATCTACTATATGCAAGTTGGTGCTAATATTTTCTTTTGGTTCTGTAGTTGATACCTGATGACATGGAGTTTCAGTCTGGAGATATGCCAAACTATACAACTTCTGATGGATCGGTTAGCTTCTGTGATCTACTTGTTTATGAAAATGAATGCATATACCATTCTCTACATCACTAATTTCTTTTCCTTTACTTTTGCTAACACTCCAGATTAAGATCCAAAAGGATAGTGAAGTGCGTTTAAAGATTATCGGGACTCGTGTTGATGCTACAGAAATCGTATGTTCTTGAATCCTCCTTTCAGTTAGACCCCCTTAATTTGTGCCTAATGCGCATGCCACTGGTTTATGAATATATCTGGTATGGGGAAGTCCTACGATTGACAATGTGAATTTGTGCCTATTGCTCATGCCTCCGCTTTATGCATCCATCTGGTATGAGGGAGTCCTGCGGTTGATAATGTACTTCGAACTAAATTTGAATGTCATTGAATTAATTTGCAGATAAATTAAATATTGTAAATTAATCACTTTCCAAGAGCTTGAAACTCTAACAACAATACCTAGCAAATAAGCTTTTAGCTATCTAAAATCAAGGAGACGTGTTTCTCCTTGCTGTTTATCTTGGGTCTATCCTAATGTTCATGAACTTAGGAGGTTTACTAATAGAACCTCCGTTGCATCAACAGTTCTGCATCGGTACGATAAAGGATGACTTCTTGGGCGTGATCAACGATCCTACGGCCTGATAGGGAAAGCTGGGGCGTGGTAGTTGTAGATCTGAGCTTTGTTTCTTATAGTTGTATGAGCACCAGGCTTCTGATGCAGACCATCGAGCATGGTGGCACCCGCCTGTACTTCTTGTCTTGAGCAAGCTCTGTAATTTATCGTGGGAAAGTAGTTCTATGTGCTTGCAGGGAATGAACTTTATCTATGTGTTGACAAAGCCTGTTATTTGTTCAACTCACCTCAGCGACCATTAGAAAGGCTTTGTCCATGTTGGATGGTTCTTGAGAGTTATTTTAAGGCCCAAGATTTTCGACTGGGGTCGAGTTTTTGGCTTTACCTATGTATTAGTTTGAGCTGCATAATTGTTGCAGTAGCTTGTAGAGGAAGTTGGATAATTGAGGTTAGGGGTTGTTTGTCGATGTGTACACTTAATGGTGAATCAGAGTGTTGTAACTGTTATCATATTTAAAAGGGTATTCAGTTGTCTCACTCCCAGATTGTATAGAGATCCCAAGATCCAATATCTGTTTCTTTCTCCAATTTCAAAATAAGATAGGGTCAATAGCATTTTGGGCACTTATAGTATTGCAAGTTTTTTTTTTCAATAGTTCACTTGCATTACCAAGGAAGAATAGATAACAAAGTTTATGTTTGTTTCATTGATTTGAAAATTGAAGGTTTTAGCAAAACTTAGATTTTGTAAAACCATGGATATCTGAGGGTTTTGGATTCATTATGGACTTGTAAAATATCATTGTTTGGTCAATTGATTTCATGATGGATTTGGTTAATTAAATTTGTGTGCATAAAGTAAAAATGACCTATACTGCCCTCATTGGTATGATATGAGAAAGATAATAGGATGGGTAGTTTGGTCATAAATGATGGATTTTGAAGTCCATGATCAAGTCCCACCTAATGAGGTGGAACTTTCAAGTCCGTGGGACCCACGGATTTGGACCCTTAAAATCAATGGGTCATACGGATTCGTTGACACATAATACATGAAACAAGTAATGGAGTTTGGACAATGTCCATGATAGATCCAAATTCATCATCAAATCCATCACCAAATCCATCAAACATAATCTAAAAAATAAACCGTTGTTGAAAATCAAAACTATCAACACTTGTAGGCAACAAAGAAAGGGACTTCCTAGCCCTACTAGGGATGGCAATGGGTCGGGTTGGGTCGGGTTTTGCCAAACCCAAACCCAAACCCATGGGTTTATCTTTGAAAAAAACCCGGGGTAAAACCCACTGGGTTTGAAAAACTCAAACCCAACCCAACCCGTTGGGTATCCGCGGGTTCATGGGTACCCACGGGTTTTGTCGTAAAAAATTTACAATTACAAGTTCTTATCAAAATTAAAGTCAAATATCAATCTCTCAATACAAATTATCCATATATAAAACACCATTCTAGAAAATTCAAGCAAATCACAAATTAACTATACAAATTGTTCAACACCAATCTAGAAAACTCAAAAAAATTGAAGCAAATCACAAATTTTCCATAAATAACATGTTTAATTGAAAGTTTCTTCCTTTCAATTAAGTTTCTTTATTCTCCACTCCATAACATCAACTTCATTCTACACAATTAAAAAGAAAAAATTAGACATGTCTCCACAACATAAATAAGATTAGTTGTTTAGAATATTAAATATACCGAAAAAATTAATTATATGAGTGAGCGGGTACCCACGGGCCGGGTTTACCTAAACCCAAACCCAACCCAACCCGTTGAATAGTGAACGGGTTTCAACCCAAACCCGGCCCAAAACCCGTCAACACGGATTTTACGCGCGTTGACCGGGTTGGGTCGGGTGGGTACCCGTGGGTTCGGGTTTTGTTGCCATCCCTAGCCACTACATGTGCCACCCAATTGTTAATCCTGCCAACAAAAGAAATGTCAAGAGACTGAAACTGCTACCAAGACTTGCGATCTCCACCAGAATTTTGCCGCCCCTATTATCCTGCACGCCCCCTACCCTAATTTTATTGATCACGTTTTGAGCATCATCATATAATACAACTTCAACTAGACCCTTTAGAGAGCACCATTGGATTGCACCCCTAAAGGCCACCAATTCAACCAAGGTCGGATCCTGCAAACCATCATAATAGAAACCTTTGACAAATAAAATGTTCTCCATTCCATCCATCACGAATAGAGCCCCCTACATCCCTAAAATGTTCTAGTATTGCAAGTTTACAAATGTAACTCTCTACTACGTAACAAATTTAGCATTATGTCCGTTAAAAGGCTTGCAAAATGTATATATTATCTCTTTATTGTATAATAATGAATTTTCATAAAATATTAATTAAATAAATAAATTTTAAATTATTCTTTACAATTATCTACCCTTCTCTATCGACAAATACCCTCACCCCTCTATTGTAATAGAGTAAAGACTCGATAGCTCCTACTTTCCCTCACAAATTTCTTCCGCCGCCGCACCTATGTAATCCGATCAAGAATCTAGACACTCTCACACCTCGCTCAACGAGGCTAAACCCGCGTCACCAACTTATTGTAAGGATCTTTATTGATGAATCTGGCGAAAGAGATGAAGAATGGGCATGGAGGATTTACAGAGGATATATGTGGTTTCTATCAAGCTACAGGGAAAGTAAAAGTAACTAACAGTTTCACAATTGGTCAAAAGATACCCCTCTCTTCACAGTTGTAGCTATTTATACTAGTCTATCTATACACGTCATCCGCTTGGGTTGTTACAAACCCTCCCTCTTCAAAGACAGCTTGTCCTCAAGCTGTGTGCAAGACTAAAAAGGAAGGGTATGCGCCATGAAGGATTGGTAGAACCACAAGAATTCAAGCACCCAGGAAGCAGTAGCATTAAGAGGAGATAATGACAATTGACAACATGTCCCAAACCTGCAGATGCCCTGAGTAGGAACCCCAGCAAAGACCGCTGCTTGCCTAATATGGATATGTAGAAGAGCATGTATTATGTCCAATTTGCTAACAAGGACAAGTAGCTGCAGCAAGTTGCACACCAGCAAAACAACACAACTGCACCTGCTACCAACCTGTCCAGAGTCTGTGAAAGATCCAAAGACATAGCAATATTACATGCATCCATAATGTTCGTCTTAGTCAAAGAAAGCTGAGTTTGAAGAGCTTCCAACACGGTATCATTAGAGCTTCGTGTAAGCTTGAGGGACAGTAGAAAATTAGGTCTCAGTATCACAACCAACTTGCAAGAACTCTCGAAATTCATGAAGTTCAGTTCTGGATGTTGACTCCTATTATAGTAGTTGTACATCAACACAACCACATGAATCTGTGTGGCTATGATGTCTTCATCAGCTAAAGATGGTGTGAATCCGGATCCAGATTTTGTCGGCAGCTTGAGGTCAACCAAATTATCAAACAGTGCAAGAATGGCCTCCTTGGTCTGGCAAACGTCAATTCCCTCCATGATCCAGACACAACGACTCTTACCCTGTCCAGAGTTTGTTGCCAGGCTCTTAATCAAGCCCAGAAGCTGCTTGAACACCAATGCTTCGTGAAGCCAAACTGCGTAGGGTTCTTCGAAGCTACAAACAGGGCCTCTCCACTTAGACCCAAGAGTAACACTAACAGATTACAACACCAGAATTTGAGACCTCCCTTAAATTCACAATGACATCCCAAGGTCGAGACAGACAAGCGATTGATCGATAATCACAATCATTATATGGGCCTTTGAAATCAGCAGAAGTCCTACTTCCATGAAAATGTCGAACGATGCCATAGTAAGTTGGGAAGATGCGAAATTTGTAACCCCAACTGGCATTGCCGGACTTGATAGGGCAACCAAAGAATCCAAAAACAAACTCAGTAGGACAAGGAACACCAAAAACGAAAGCGTCCTTGTCAAAAGTCAGGGGCTTTCCCTGTGTTTCTTCTTCTTTATGTTGAACTCCTATTGCTTTCTCCATCATTTCCCTTTCCTCTCCCATTCTCGCCATCTCTTCTTTCTGTTGCATCTTGAACTCCTCTTTCATCCGCCTAATTTCCATAGCTCTTTTTGACTCCTTCTTAGGCTCAAATCTTGTCAATATGAACTCAGGAACTTCCCACAAGAAGCCCATATAAGGCGTAGGCAGTTCTGGTTTCTTAACAGGAGGTGTGACTATGCTGCTACTACCACTAGAGGCAGAAGGAGAAGCTGTGGCATCTGAATCCACAAGCCCGCCTCCATGCCGATGCAACTCTCCAACCACAATAACTCCCCTATCTCCAATCCCTCCTCCGGCTCATTCACCGCCACCTCCTCCTACAACTATGCTGCTACTACCACCAGGAGAAGAAATTGTAGATAGGGAAGCAGAAGACAGCGAAATAGAAGAAGGCAATGCAATCGGTGGTGGTTCTTGAGAATAAAAAATTGGGCTTGAACTCCCAGAGAAGAAACAACAGACAGAATTAGGGATTTCGGTGTTGGTGTAGACAAGTGAGAAACCCAATTGAAGGTTGGAGAAAGGACCTGGTGGTCGGCGATCGAGGCAGGTTGCCCGGAGACGGTGGAAGAAAGAACCCACACACGAGGATCCAGAATCAACGACCGACGCGGTGGCGGATTGAACTGATGTGGATCGGCGATCAAAGTGTAAGTCGTGTGCCATGGAGAACGAATCAGAGAATCATCTCGCCGTTGCTCCAACGAAGCAGCAAGAGCATCGATGGAGGCCTTCGTCGAAGCCGCAAGAGCAGCAATGGCGGCCGTCAGATCCCGGTGCCGTGAGTCCATCTGCTGCTTGATGGCCGCCATTTGAGTTTCCAAAACAAGGATTCGTGTGGTGTTGGTAGCCATTGCCAGATTACAGGCTCTGAATACCACTTGTAAGGATATTTATTGATGAATCTGGCGAAAGAGATGAAGAATGGGCATAGAGGATTTACAGAGGATAGATGTGGTTTCTATCAAGCTATAGCTAAAGCAGGGAAAGCAAAAGTAACTAACAGTTTCACAATTGGTCAAAAGATACCCCTCTTCACAGCTGTAGCTATTTATACTAGTCTATCTATACACGTCATCCGCTCGGGTTGTTACACTTATTCTTAGATGACTGTTCTAACCCCTATAACTAATAACAAAAGTACCTCAATCTGATTCGAGCTGAACCTTCGATACTACCAGTCAAATGGCAAAAGTGCAGCGGTGGTAGCGAAGGCAACTTCGTAAAGCTCAAGATGAGGACGGATTCGGGGAGATGCTGTAGAACTTCTCCACGAAATCATAGCACTGGGGAGGTTTCGACGACTATTAATCAGTTGCACAGGTTAGAGCACCAATTTCTCTATAGAAATCGGTTGCATGGCTATAGATTGGTAATTGTGCTCGTCACTTGGGAAGCTAAGCTTGGAGGATGATTCACATACGAGTTTATACTGACGACAATTGGCTCAATACGGCCGAGAACATAGACCGTGAACTCAAGCTGAAGATCACGGCCTGGAAGCACCAGATCGCGGCCACGAATTGGAGGACTCAGGGAGCGAACTTCGCGAGGGAGGAGCCAGGGAGAAGCAGAGACTTTCCCCAGTCGAATCACGGCCATAACATCATTTGACCACGAGGAAGATCGCGGTCGCGACTCGTGGAACGCGACCGCGAAGTCAGCCAGGGATCTCCTCATTTCTGAAGGCTAGGACGACGAGTCGACGACGTTCCAATATTGTGGCCTAACTTCTGAAGTTCACGACCGTGATCCCTGTGCTTCTGGCCGCGAACTTTTCCTTCCCCAGATTGCCTATAAATAGAAGACCCCTTTCCCCCTTTTAGATGAAATGTTTTGATCAAAATTTCTGATTTTAGAGAGAGGGAAGAGAGAGAAGCTGAAGGAGCTAGAAGTAGGGCTGAAAACTGGCCTGACCCGCCCCTGAAGGGTCAAGATGTATAACTGACCTGCCCCGACCCTGTTTCTTTTATGACCCTGTCTGACCCTTTATGGTCGGGGCGGGTCAAGAAGGGTCGGGTCAGTGGGTCGACCTTAATAAATAGACTACTTTTCTAAAAATGACAATTTGGTACCCGAATTTATTTTTTCTTACATTTTAGTACCTAAATTTTATTTTTTTTACAAATAAGTCCCTAAAATTTGATGGTAAAATTACGTTTTGGTACCCAAAATTTTTAATTTGTACAATTTTTTACCTAAACTTTTAAAATTTTACAAATAGGTCCAACGTGTTTGTATGATGCTAAGGGTCATAGGGTCAAAAAGTGACCCGACCCTATCTGACCCGACCCTAAATTGACCCTGTAGACAAACTGACCCATCCTGACCCTGAGGGTCGGGGCGGGTCAGTGAATTTTAATGGTCAAACTTACACCCCTAGCTAGAAGAGAGGGAGCATCTTCCTCAACCCAAGTCTTCTTCAATTTCTTCTATGTTCTTCTTACCTCCTTTATGGAGTAGTCCTCTAAGGTACTAGGGGTTCTAAACCCCAAACCCTAGTTTTGGGTTTATTATGTATTTGAATGAATGAATGTGTTTATCTAGTTGATTCTATTGCTATTCTATCTTTGATTTTGTTTGGGTAAGTCGCTCTAATCTTCTCTATTAGCCTACTTTATGCTTCTACGCTGGGTATGGAGTTCTAGGGTTAGACGAGTATGCGCCATCAAACAAATCAAGACAGATGTATGTAAAGGGACCTATGGTGGTAGAGGCGACCGAACCCCTGCTGTAGGTTAGCCTTCCTAGATAGAACCCGAGATGAAACCTTGGTGTGGATGGTGGATAGTGTCCATTGAAATGAGCCATGAGCTTATTGTCCCAGATATGATAGTCTAGATCGAGGTGACTATATATGGGTTTAGGGGAGACGTACTCAGAGGCGTGTGGATAACCACGAAAAAGAGCTCACTCACCACATTGGATAACCACAGGTATTTATGCATGCATAGCAACTCTAAACTAGGGGGAGGATTAATTCCCCGAAGTACCTGCTTTTAGCTTTGATCAATCTCTAGTCTAGTTATCTCCTCAAGTCCTCTACTCAAACCTCCAAAACCTATTAACTAATTAGCAACTAGGTGGGAAGTAGGCTAGGGTACTAGTATCCGAGTAAAATATGACATTGATCACCACTATACGATAATGCCATTTTAAGTTAAACTTGGCTTAGGATGGGGTAGTTGTTGACACGTGCTAACCATTGACAATAATCTGTACGGATTGAATTAATCAAGCTTTTTGGCGCCGTTGCCGGGGAACCTTGGTACCTAGTAGAAAACCATTAAGTTGTTAGTTATAATTTACCTTGTTTTGTTTGTTCGTTTGTTTCATTTTGTGTTTTTTGTGTGTGTTTTTGTTATTTACGTGTTGTTTTGTTTTTGCTTTGTGTTTTTGTTATTTTCATGTGTGTTTCGTTGATTTTTTCGTCATCCAACTTTGTACGTCACAGGTTGTGGGAGTTTTTGTTTGTTAATAAATTAATTACTCATGGATCAACCTGAGTTAGAGCGTATTGCAAGGGAAACAATAGATAGGCTTTGCCAACAATCATAATTCTAAGGAAGGGATGATGAGAGTGCTCTCAATCATATGTCCTACTTTTTAAAGGCCATCAAAGCTTTGAAGATTTCAGGATTCACTCTAGATCAGATAAATGGTAATTTCTTCACTTACACTCTACGAAGGGATCCAACAGTCTAGTATAATGAGTTTCAATCCACTGCTCCATCCTGGAGCCAAATTATGAAGCATTTGTGTACCAGTATCTAGTTAGAACAATGGTCGTCATGTAGAGGAAGGGTATTTACACCTTTCAACAATAAGTTCAAGAGACTTTCCAACAAGCTTTGGAATGTTTCGAGGGGTTGATACGAAGAAGTCCGAACCATGGATACTCTGATGAGCAACTCAACGAGAGGTTCTCCAAAGGACTTTTAGAGAACTTCAAGGAATTTATCGAAAAAAGATATCTCACTGGATTTCGGTACAATGATCTGGAGCAAGTGAAGGAACTATGTTGTTACATAGAACAGGAGGAAGCACGTTAAGCTAAAGAGCTAGCCATTCAAGGTCAGATAAATGAAATTGGCATAGAGCTTGAGGAATTAAGGGAAGCGACCAACATGGAGTCACCTCGGATGGAACAAGCCTTTGCCATAAACACGAGGTTGCCTCCCCGTTCTAGTGTTTCTCCTACCCCTCCGGAACATCATCAAGACCACATTGCTAATGAACCGTGCACGTCTTGTAGTGATTTGAGACGCCGATTTGAGCGGTTGGAGGAAAGGGTATCTGATTGGGTTTTGATTTGTCATCAGCGGATGAACGACTTCGATCGGTTTTTCCACGATTCTATATCTCAAGTGGACTCGATACGAGCATAAACTAAAGTGTTGGTGTCCACCCCTCAAGGTCATGTTTGGTTCCCTTGGACTATTAGAAGAGATAATTAGAGAGGGGCAAAAAAAAAACC